AGTACTCAACTGTTTTAAATATTGATAATCAGCAAAACAGCATATTAGAATGATTTCTGGATCATGTGACACTGCAGATTGGAGTAATGATGCTGAGTCAAAGTCAGCTTTGATCACAGGAATAAATTACATTTTTAAATATATTAAAATAGAAAGCAGTTATTTTAAATAGTAAAAATATTTCAAAATTGTACTGTTTTCGCTGTAAGCAGAAGAGAATTCTTTAAAAAAATAAAAAAAAAAACATTCAAAATCTTACTGTTTAAAAACTTTTGACTGGTAGTATAGGCTGATTATTCTTATAGATTGAAAGAAATGTGCTTTAGCCAGTATAAAGAGTATGAAAAGTGCTCTGAGTTGCTGCAGAAAAAAAAAAAAAAGAGCAACAACAAAAACATGCTGCTGGAGACGGGCTTATTGAAAATGCAATCTGATTGTCTGCCAGCAGGAGGCGCTTTGAGAGCGTAATGGCTGTAATCAAATCAGCTCGGCTCATGAACGCTTCTTTATCAGATAAATTGAAAATGCCATCGAAACTTTTCTGAAGACAGTCCCTTCAGAGATACATTAATATAAAACACCCACAACGCGTTTTGATTTTGAAACATGTAGTGTTCATGTTTATTCAACGAAGTCAAACGCCACAAATAAATTAATGTATGGGAAACACTGGTAATGTATATCGAAATATCGGAAATGTGTTTAAAAATCATATCACCTTTATTGAAAAAAATTATATCGCGATACATATTGATATTGAATTATTGTCCAGCCCCAATTCACATACAGCTACATTACATACTGCATGAAAGGCAATAATGGCATAATAGGGGCACTTTAAAGATAATGCTGACAGACTTACCTGTAGTTCATAAAGATCATTGCTGTACTTTCCGTACTCAACCATGCCCCCGAACACAAGGAGTCTGGTGCTGTCGCACACAAATCCATATGCAGCACAGCCGGGAGGAATGTCACCCCGGACAGCAGGAATAAACCACTGATTGGTGGCTGTTGAGAAACATATAGTTGTGTCATTGTGGTTTTGATGAATAAAGCACTTTCTGTGCTGTGTTGCAATGCACCATGTTCTTTTATTCTGTGCAGAACAAGGTTATTATAGTTAACTAGAAGCATAAAAATATGATGTTGCTTGAAATTACTAAAATATAGAATAAGACTTAAAACTTATTTTAATTCAGGTAATCGCCAAGGCAACATTTCTCGTTTTCATTTAGTTTAACTTGATGTACTAAGTGAAATATAAATATATCAAATAAACTAGTTTGATCATTTTTTTTTTTTTTACATATTTACTAATTAATAATAAATTATTTTTTAAATAATGATTTTAAAATAAAGAATCAATATGAAAAAATAATAATAATTTGAATAAAAAAATAAAAGAAACTTTTAGATAAACATTTGTACTTCTGATAGCAACTTCTTGAGTCTGTAACTAGAGATGCACCGATCGATCGGCCAGGGATCGGAATCGGCCGATTTTCCTCATGATCGGCCCGGATCGGTGACCGGCCGGTCAGTCTCTGTGCTGTTGTTTGCAATTTTTTTATTTGTTATTTTATTACTGACTTTTTACTTGTATTTTTTTAATGAAAATAAAACTTTGCGTTGAAGAAAAGTAGATTTTTGTTTGTATATGCTGTCAATTATAGTTCTTAGAAAGAAAATTGGAATCGGCAAAAATCGATATCGGCAGATCACACTAACAAAAAATCGGAAATCGGAATCAGCCAAGAAAATTGCAATCGGTGCATCTCTATCTGTAACCCTATTATAGTATTTTTCCACAAATAAAGAAATTGTTATAAACATGCATTTTTATGCAGGCTACAAATGCACACTCCAGAGGATCTAATAGCTGGATTTGCTAAAGTTTTAAAGGTTTGTGGAATTAAATATTTTATTTTAAAATAAATGCTGCATTGACAATTAGCTCAAATAATATTAATAAAACAATTTGATGGTCTAAAGCAGGGGTGTCAAACTCAATTCCTGAAGGGCCGGAGCCCTGCAGAGTTTAGATTCAACCCTAATTAAACACACCTGCCCAACTAATCTAATCCTTCAGGCTTATTTGAAAACTACATGGTATGTGTGTTGGAGCAGGGTTGGAACAAAACTCTCCAGGGCTCCGGCCCTCCAGGAATAGAGTTTGACACCCCTGCTCTAAAGTAACTAACTAAAATATAAATAAACCTCTAGCAAAAAAATAAATAATAATAATAAATAAATAATATATATGACAAGACATTTACTAAAACTAACAAAGTTAACATTTAAAATTAAACTACTTCAAAATTTGAATAAAAACTATAGTATTATCTAATATACAAATACTATAATAGCATCTTAATGACTAAATTATATAAAATACTAAAGTAATCCTGGTTCCGCGTAGCTGTTAACAGTTTCCAAAAGAAGACTCCATGAGCAATATGCAAATGTAGGGCGTCTTTATATCACTATCTTAAAAATCATCACTCAGCAGCATATAGTGCAACATCAAAGTAAAACAATGCTTTTTGGAGTGCATCTACTTCTTATAATTTCATAACATTCATCATTCCACAACTTTGCAACATTATTTAACCTCAAGTAAAATTATCCACAATAAATACTGTAAATTACACTCTCTTCCATTCATCCTGGAAGTATTTACATGGCAATGCGGGAAATGTTGTGGGCGGGGCCTGTATGTTGTGATGACACAAACAGCGTTCTTTATAACCCGCCATTTCTCTTGGCATTTTCCAGGCGTGCCAGACAGACCCCACAGTGCTTGGCTAGTGCTGTAGCGTTAGCTGGTTAGCTGCCACTTCAACCCATAAACATCTTAACCTAACAAAACACAGATCAGCTAGCAGTGCACCTAAATGCATCACTACATACAGCAAGTGATGCACTGAAATTAAATGCACTAATGTTAGCGCAAACACGTCATGATTATGTGAGTTTTGAATTACACTGCCAAGTGTAATATTTTCGTGCACATTCTTTATGGCTAACTTAGTTAGCTGATCACTTGTGCAGATTTTGTCTAGCCGCTAAATGTGCTAATGCACCTGGCTAACCCAGTAAACAATCAGTCAAGAAATTGCTTAATAAATAAAAAGGAGTTGTGTAAACTGTTATATATTAAATTAATTATTTCACCTGTCAAGAGACGTTTGTAATAAAGGCAAACAGTAAATCTGACTACCAAGACAAGGCAGAAACGACCGAATCTGGCTAATAACATAGCGAGCTAAAGGCTACAGAAATAAAACACAACTAACGTTACATGCACAAACACCACCGCCTTTAATACTAACTAATAACGTTCTCACCCGTGTTATAGACGTGTAGTTCATCCACAATGCCTTCGTTCCCTCCGCCGAATACTACCATCAGCTCTTTAATGGCCACAGCTCGGTGTCCGTGTCTCGGGCGAGGAACCGGGCCAGACCAGCCCAAAACCCTCTTCCAGCGCGGCTGCAGAACCGAGGTCCCCGAAGAAGCCATGTCCACTTCTCTAGCGAGACACAAATCCCAGGCACAGCGCTGATTTTAGTTCGGATTCCAACAGCATTCGTGTGTTACAAGCTCTGTGCTAACTGGATTAGCCGGCTAGTACCAGATAGCTTCGCTCCAGCTAACGTAACTAGGTCACCAAAACACGCTCGACTTCCACGCGTTTGTTTTTGGCCAAATGCTCCCCGAAATGCACCAAAAGACCCCGTTATAGGAAATATTAGCGTTTACGCGCGTCGAAATTCGAAAAGCATAGAGCGTGGGGAAACGTCGGCCGGTTAGCACGTTAGCCGCTCAAATCTGCGCGAACCGCCATTTTAGCGGCAAAAGACGCTTTTCATCACGAGAAGAAAGTAAATAAGACGGACGCCGGCGGCTGAGCAAACGCGAATTCCCGGCGAAATGAAGGAAGGTAACTCGAAATACACCGCGTCACGTGCAGGTGGGCTCCTGCGCATTTTTTCTTAAATATCCTTATAGTAGGCGAAACCGCATTTTTTGGGTTAACGTTAAATGTCTCTTGGAGAAAAGGAAAAGCGCGATGAAGATGTGTACGCAGCCATCTTGCAGAGGCTAGCTAAACGCTACTAGCACGGGCGCCTAGTTAGCTGCTAAGCGGCTAAGCTAACACATACAAGCTAGTGAATAGAAATGGGCGGCGGAGGCACAAAAAAAAAGAATGGGCGGCGTGAAGGAAATCATAATAATAAACAGAAAAGGGAGTTGGAAAAAATATAAACAAAGAAAATCAATCTAAAACACACAAAGCAGGGAACAGGCATGTGCAGTGGGGAAAAAAATTAATACAATTAAAAAATGGTCGGCGAACCGAACAAAATATCAGCTCTTTCGTTGAATTTAATATTACGGAAATCGTATTATAATACTAAATCCGTCAATGAAACCCCGCCGGTAAAATGTGTTAACGGCTTACAAAATTAAAGTGCGCGTTAAAATAAATGCGGATAGAGGTAACTTATTTAGTCTATGTTCATGTGATATGAGGATTTTTCATGCCTCTCGTCTGGGTGCCGCCATCTTGATAACCAAACCAAACAATCCACCCTCTGGAACCAAATGAAGCTTAGCGCTTTTTAGTGATCCGAATGCATATGTATATTTATAAACAAATATGCAATACATCTCTTCAAATACAGTTTTCTCCCTACAAAACAGCGCTGACAAGACTAAAAAGGAACTTACATTTGCTGTTGTTAGCTATTAGCCGCATTAGTTAGCTGAAATGTTCAATGAGATCCATTGGGCAGCCAGTTAGCTTCAATGCAAAACAGCTCATTACAACACAGTAAATTCTACATACTCGTTTGGCACAACAGAGAAAATGTTACACGTCTCATGTTTATTTACTGTTAAAACTGCAGGTGTGATTTTTATTCGAGATGCACAGTTCAGTAGCTTCTGTTATTGTTTCGTCCCTGGCTTAGCTTAGCTTCCCTCAAGAAAAATGGCGGATGTACCGTTAGCAGTCATAGAGAAAGCTGCAAAAAAAAAAAAAAAATCGGATTCTGTCATTGCCTGACACCAAATACTTACTCGTTCCGATTCGTTAACTTAATTTACAAATCACGAGAGAGGACTCAGAGAACGAATTCGACCCTGGGTGCGCCTTTCACTGTAGATATAGCTAACTCTACATCTTTTCATGCAGCCCTGGAAGCCGCCATCTTCTTGACAAGTGCTCAATAATTCAGCAGCTTCCGCACAGAACATCACATTCTTATTGTATGCGTTCAGATATTTTCTGGGCAGATATGACTTATTGGTTTGGAAAAAAGGGTCCAATCACTGCCTACTTTTTTTTCTGGAAACCATATTGTGTTTGGAATGTTGTTGGATGACAGAAGGCATAATATATTCATTTATGTAATGCTGATTCTTTATCCATAAATTTGCTGGAATGATAAGAGACGTTTGGAAGATGAATGAAAGCTTAGTAAATGTGTTAATTTCATGCCAATTTTATTGGTGTGCTATGCTTTATTATTTATTTCTTTATTACAAAAAAACAAGCAAGCTTAGCCCAGGAGACAAAAAGTAACGCAAAAGTACCGTGAAGCATTACTTTCCATAAAAGGTAACCAAGTAACGCAATTAGTTACATTTTATGGAGTAACGCAATATTATAACGCATTACTTTTAAAAGTATATATATATATATATATGTGTGTGTGTGTGTGTGTGTGTGTGTGTGTGAATGAATGTAAAGGTTTGCTAAAATAATTAGGTTATTATATGTTTTTGTTTGGAAGTGTTCGGAAGGTTCTAAATTTAAAGCTTTAACTTTTATTTCATGTCCATCATTTTAAAGTTAATCCTTCAATGACACTGTTGTCTCATTGCTGAACAAAAACACTAACTTTACAATTGAGATTTTGGAATTAACGGCACAATAAATATTTATTTATTTCACTTTGTTTAGATTATCATAGTTTTACATTTGTAATAATAGTTTGATATTTAAAGTTTGGGCTCTTTTTGAAAAGTATCACAAATAAATTATGAAGTAAAGTGATCTTTTTTATGTGATCTCCATATAATAAACATATAAAAAGGTGGAGATATTTTAGCATTAATAACTAAACATAGTGGGGGACACCAATTACAGAATATACAGAAATCATGTAAAATATATTTTTATTATGTAACAGAATCCATGGTTAACATGGTAATTTCTCCGGTAACTCTAACATGATCTTCTACCATCTCCAATATTTATGGCCTCTGCATGAAATAAAGAAATCGAATAATAATGAATCGGCTAATCATATAATTCACATAAATATTATATGCTTATAAAACACTCCACTGCCAATAAACAAGAGTTGTATTTCATTCACACAAATAAATGACCCAAACTGAACTGTTTTTTTTTTTCTTTTCTAAGGATTAGATTAAATAGTTGCATCTGATATCAATTTTTCAAGTTATTACATTACAGTGTAAGTCAGTGCATACAGTTAAAAAGTAAAGGGCTGATTGTAGAAATCTGTAAAATTGCTGTTACATAATGAAAATCGCACAGGCTAAGTTTAATTCAATTTATATAACAACCACAAGTTAGTACCATAGAAACAGATTAGTCATTAATGTTAAATAGTACTCTCATACATGTAGGTGTTTTGGCCATAATCCAAAAACTTGATTTTATGTCATAAAAAAACAAAAACATGTCGCTGAGAACTAAGCCAAAAACAACAAGCAAACAGACAGACATTGGATCGCCAAAACAACAGGCGTATAACAATAAATTATGCACTTTTATATTTCTTTGGCTTGTCAGTCAAGATTCACAGGTTCACAACCACAGAGCTTTCTTCATCCGTACCACTTTTTATTAATCTGCAGCTTTGGCCGAGGTATTTATCAAGGCATTTTCTCTACCATAACCGTAAAAAAAAGTACCATAAAGATATCTGTGAATATTTCATGTAATATTTAAACAACATATTTGCTGGGTCCCAAACATCCAGTGCTAAACTGCAGCAGGCGACTGCATGTTGATTCCAGATGTCTCGCATGCAAACTCATCACTCTCTTCTGGCTCCCTTGTTTCAGCATTCATCCCTCGGTCTACAAAATAATGAAAAAGCATAAATATATTCTTTTGATTCAAACAAACAAGCACAGAAATTGTGTGTAGACACATTTTGTTTTGAAAATGACAGTTTTCACCTGAGATTTGGAGCCACATTAGAGGGGTGTAAAAATGGCTTTAGAAAGCTGGCAGCACCATTATTTGATTTTTACACAGAGATTGGTAGGTCTATTAGTAAAATCTGTTGACTTTAGCAATTTTTGTTTCATTATATGCCAACGGTGACAGTTCAAAAATGGCAAAAAGCACTTCTTGTGTTTTTTGCCTCAAGTTTGCATGCCTGTAACTGAAGAAGCATTGAAGATATCTTAATATAATCTTTTAGGTTCTGGTTCTTAACAAACCTTCCTTTTGTTATCTTCATTTTAAAGGCCCTTGATGGTTCAATTCCAGAGATCTTAATGCGGCTCCATATGTAAATTGGTAAATTGTTCACATTTTCTGTGGTCAAAAACACACTATTAACATAATTGCATAGAACACGCCTGTCTGCGTGCCATAAATATTCTTTTTCCAAATGTGTCATATCTGTAACTCTAAAAGTATTCAAGATATCTTAATATCCTTCTAGATTCTCATTCTCAAACTTTTCTTTTGGAATCTTCATTTTTAAGGCATGGTTTATCCCCATAGATACTGGGACCCCAATGTAACTCCATGTCCACATTTTTTAATTTTACCCATTTTCAAAGGTCATTAACCAAATGTAGACAACTTTTTAAACAGCTGATCGTTATTGTGTTTAAAGAGGAATGTCTGAAGAACAAATAATACAAAAAAACATTTTTCCTTAGTTTACAAGTCTTTCATTTAAGAAGTGTTAAAGATGTCTTAATGTCATTTTAGATTCTTTTATTCTTATGAAACTTTTCTTTTGGAGTCTTCATTTTTAAGGCCCTATATGGTTCAGTATTGTAGATATTGGGATGTCAATGCGGTAACATGTAGTTACAATACTGTGTTTGAATTCTTGGTAGCTTCAGAAGCTGTTAAAACGAACAAAATCCCATCTTCCAAATATCCCTAAAACTGAGTCAAATATAAATTATTATAAATACGCCTTTGAGAGCAAGTTATTGTGCCTCAACTTACTCAGGTGTTGTTTTATGCAATTCTTTTGATCGAAGGAAACAAGATACATTTCTAGTTTAAACATTATTTAAATTACACACACACACACGATGCGCAAAACTCCACATTTGAACAGTCAATAGCAAATACTTAAACTAATAACAAAACAGTAGCTGATTCAGAAGCGCCAGATTGTCATAGCAAAGTCAGAATTACCTCCTCTCCATAAAATGCATTGCTGTTCTGTTGTAAGTAATCTTAAAGATTCCTAAATGCATCTACTTTCGGAAGGCCAAATAAAGTGCTTTTGCTTTCGCCTAGAAACACACAGCGTCTCCCTGACATGGCTGCTTCAACACTAACTGCGGTTACTGAAACCACGCCTTCTTTCTTTGCGTGCACATTTGGGCCGCATTATGCAAATATTTCCACATAGTGAGGTAGATATGTGGGGGCGTGTTAGAACGAGCCGTTTTAGGGGGGCGTGGCAGAGTCTTAACTTTGATAAAGAATATCTCTTTGGTTTTGAGACTTTAGTCTTTGCAACTTCAGGGATCTTATCTATTCACGAACAGCTTGTAACACTCCAAAGAGAAAGGAAAACTTGAAATCGGATCATATGACCCCTTTAAGATTTCTAAAGGAAAGTTTATTAAGAATGAGAATCTAGAAGGATATTAAGATATCTTGAATACTTTTAGAGTTATAGGCATGCAAACTTTGGAAAAATAATATTTATGGCATGCAGACAGGTGTGTTCTATGCAATTGTGATAATAGAATATCACAAGATAAATTTCTAGTTTCAACTATTTGTTCTTCAGATATTCCTCTTTAAAAGAAAATAAGTATCAGCTGTATACAAAGTGACCCACATTTGGTTTTTTTACCACAGAAAATGTGTACAATTAACAATTTACTCATGGAGCCACATTAAGATCTTCATTTCCATATCCTTTCCATATCTTTTAATTAATTTGTATTTATTATTAGTGTTAGTTTTAATTTTTTATATATATATTTTAGTACATCAT